GGTCGCCGCCAGCTGCTCGATAGCCCTGGGAATCGCGGGGGTATCCCGCCCGGGGGTTGGCGGGGCCTCGGAGAGCAGCTACCGGAGACTGGGAAATGCTCGGCGCAGGGTTTTCCCACCACTACCCCCCTCCAGGATAGCTAGAGCTCACGCGGAGCTAAGGAAGCCTTTCTGATGCTCCTGAGCCTCGACTATCCCTCTCGCCCCGGCGCTCCCACTTCACCCGGCTTGCCACCACCGGCAAAGTGCCTCGCACACAGGAGCGCAGGTGCCTCTCCCCCCCCCCCCCCATGGCCCAGTGTGGCCTCCACAAGCCAGTTTCCCAGACTCCAGGGAGCGACCTGCGCTCCAGATTCCGCCCGACAGCACGTCCCACCCAGGTGTCCCCAGTCTCCACCCTCTTTCGTATCTCTAGGCCCCTGGGAAGATCCAGGAATTCACCAAACACAAATGGCAGCAGGCTGGTAATCAGGCCTCACCCAAGGCTTGGCAGGTTCCCTCTAGCCCTTGTCTTGGAGATGGAGCCACCAAGTGGAGAACTGGAGCCAGGACCCCGTGTCTAGCGCATCTCCTCACGCCTTCTGTCCTGTCCTAGATGTTTTTCTGGTTTTCCCAAGTGCCAGCCACTTCTCAGATTCACGCATCTTTGAGCGAAGAAAATCCGGGTTCCCACCCCAGACACTTAAAAATGTCATTATAGCTTTACCTCTTACAGGTGGCAGTAAAGGACCTCTTTAAATAGCGGGTTAAACGGATGCAGATGTACACAATGTACCGTGGAATTACCGGGTGCTGGTCTGGCCTTCTGCCAAGAACAGCTACCGCGGCGGGTGGGAGGGGTGCAGCAGGAAGCGAAGAAAAGTTGTTCCATTTGATTTTCTGAACAATGAATGAGCTAGGATTTCAGAGCACTTCCAAGGCCTGGGAGAGTCAGCGTCCTCAACTTCTTCCCCTCGCTTCTTAAATGCCCCTCCCCTTATTTTTTAAAGACACGATCTCCTGTAGCCCACGGCCTCCAACTCACTGTGGAGGATAATCTTGAACTAATGGTCCTTCCCCCATCTCCCCAGCGCAGCAATAACAAGCACTGGCCAGCATGCTGAGTTCATATGACACTGAAGAATCAATTCAGGTTTTGCCACGCTAGCACATACTCTACTAGCTGAGCTGCATCCTTGGCCATTATGGTAGGTTTAAAAAACAAACAAACAAACAAACAAATTGGGCATGGTGGCGCAGGCCTTTAATCTCAGCAGTGGGAAGGTGGAGGCACACAGATCTCTGAGTACAAGGCAAGCCAGATCTATACAGCTATACAGCGAGTTCCAGGTCAGCCAGGGGCAGAGAAATCCTGTCTTGAAGGGGGAAAAAAAGCGTCTAAGAGAACAATTATAGAGTCCCAAATACTATCAAGACGTTTAGGTCCATGCTGACCCCTTTGGAAAGCAGAGGGTAGTGGAAGATCAGTTAGGATTAGTGACCCTCTGTGCCAGAGAGACTGCTTTAGCAGTCTGGGTTCCTCTTTCTGGGCATTAGCTGTTCTGGTCACATCAGGAGACACTCCTCTGGTTTAGGCTACACCCCTGTAGGGACCTATGGCTCAGGCTATACTGTTCTGAACTTTTCCAGACCTTTCTTGATGTCTATCTTAGGCTTGACTTCCTTAAGGTCTTCCAGGGCAGGCACCTGGGCCCCTAGGCTACATAGAAATCTGTTTCTGCAGTGAAAGTCGAAAGAGCACCTTCCGATTATAATTGAAATTTTAATTAATTATAAACTAAATATAATTTAAAACATCTTTTAAAAAAGATTTTATGTGTGTGTGTAAGAGAGAAAGAGAGACAGAGACAGAGAGAGAAAGAGAGAGAGAGAGAGAGAGAGAGAGGAGACTCTGTGTCTCTGTGACTGGATACTGTGTGTATGAAGGTACCTAAGGGGGCCAGAAAGCATCAGAACCTAGGAGCTGGAGCTACAGACAGTAGTGAGCCCTTGGATATGGGTGCTGGGAACCAAACTTGGGTCTTCTGGAATATCAGCAAGTGCTCCTAACTGATGAGCCATCTGAGGCCCCATTGTGCATCATTTTAAAACATGAACTACCGAAACAAGATTTTACTGAGTGTGTACATATATATGTATGTGTATGTATGTACCTATGTATGTATGTCTGTGCACATGTATGAGTGTGTGGAGCCAGAGGACAACTTCAGATTTTTTTTTTAGATTTATTTATTTATTATTTATACAGTGTTCCGTCTGCAGGTATGTTTGCAGGTAAGAAGAGGGCACCAGATCTCATTACAGATGGTTGTGAGCCACCATGTGGTTGCTGGGAATTGAACTCAGGACCCCTGGAAGAGCAGTCAGTGCTCTTAACCTCTGAGCCATCTCTCCAACCCAATGTGTTTTTTGTTTGTTTGGTTGGTTTTTTTCAGGGGATAGGCTCTCTTACTTGCCTGGGACTCACAGAGTAGGCTAGGCCTTGGAAATCCACTTATTTCTGCCTTCCCAGTGGCTGGGATTATACCCCTGGTCCTCCGAATTTGTCTCTATTTCTTTTAAAGCATGCATTCTGGAGATTGAACATCTTCCCGGGTCTCAGTTTGATTTTTTGAAAAGGCATTTACTGCTTCATCCCTTTCAGGTTTTGAGCTATATGATATTCCCTCTTATTCTCAGATTTTACATATCACCACTTTCCTTACACATGATGCTGGTGTCCAAAGAATATCAAATACTCATCTCCTTCAGGTACTGGACAATAAAGATGCTGGAAACTGAAGGAAGAAGCAAAAATAACATATTTCTTTACTGAAGGCGGGGTAATGTCAGGGCAGGAAACGTCTCCTCAGTAAACGAGTGTGACAGAGTCTCATGGTGGGAGAGTATGTGTGGTGGGAAGGCTGGGTGAGGAGAAGGGTCTGTCACAAGTGTTACCTCTTGTCTTTGGTTTCAGAGTAAAGTCCTCTTGAAGGAGTGAGCTTTTCCCAGCCTATGTTTTCTGAGCAGTCTACCTGTGTTATGGGCCTTCCCTGTGCTACTTTGATAGGGTCCCACTCCCTCCTGGAAGGGATGGGTGGAGAGCAGCCCGAACCCTTTCTGGGTTGTTGCAGGACTAGGAAGGAACTCACTAGCTCTTTCCACAAGGCAGGCTGCAGTTGGGACAGTGCATCTCAGCTCCCTTAACATTTATCCCTCTTGGCTTTAGACCACAAATTTAGGCCAAATGTTTTTGCTGGTTCCCTTTTTGGGTGTTCAAACCTTTACAAAAAAAATTTTTTTTTTGTGCTAAGTTTCTAGCCTGATAGATCTTTATTTGTAGTTCCAGAACCCAACTGAGCATCTGGAACTAAATGTAGGATGAACGTTTATTCTATTTTCTGTCAACAGTGCTGAGTTTTCCTCAGACTTGACCCTCTTCCTGTGATTTGGCCAAACGCTTTGTTTCAACACAGGTCTGAGCAACATCTTTTGCATTGTCCTGCTGGCCCCATCTGTCTTGTTCTTTCTTATAGAGCTCTTCATTGAGAGCTCATTTGGTGAATTCTCCTTCCAACCAGCTTCCCCTGTTGTCCTCTGTCCTTACCAATGGGGTCATGGGCCAGAAAACCAATAAAGCTCTTAATCAGAGACACTGTGCAGCAACAGTAGCAGCTGGCCGGTCCAAACCCATAGATTCTAGTATGGTAAGATATGCAAAAGATAGTCAACGGGGAGCCCTGGTATGAGACTTGCTTGCATGCTCACATGCAGCCTAGCTTTTCTGCTTTTATTTATTAATTTATTCTGGTTAATTTGTTATTGCGATGTTGAGGCTCTGTACATAGTAGGCAAGCATGCTACCACTACTCCTAACCCCTTGCGGTGGAGTCAGGAAGGCTCCTGTCTATTAGCTGAGCACACCCTCAGTCCCACAGGTGGATTTTAGACAGGACTTTGTCATCAAGCCACTACTCCCTCAACCCCTATCTCCTAGGAGCATTCCACTGCTAAGCCATTATCCCAATGCATGGAATGACTTTTCTAAGTTTCTGTGGTTCAGCTTCCACTGTCCCTACCCATGTGGCCCATCTCTCCAGACTCAGTGTGGGAAACCTAAGTCCCTCCTCCACTGTCCAGCTACTTTGAGTCATGTCCCCACCCAGAGCTTTCCCGAAAGAACTCACAGGATTCATTTCCTTGCAAAAGTGATAGCACGGTCACAGTGCAAATAGTTCTGTGATCTCCCTATATTTAAGGCACTTCCCATATCCAGGGTAAACAAGCTTGTGGGTTAGCAGCTGTGCATTCGGAGCACCCTGGGGAAACAGCCAGTGTGGCTTCCCTTGTCTTGGTGGTTAGTGAAGAAATACTCCTACCCTGCCCCAGCAGATCAGGATAGGAAGACCCCAAGCATCCTTCAGGTCCAGGTGTGCCTGGGTGTTTAGGAGCATCCTAGGATTGAAACCAGGAGCTCTTTTGAAAAAAAAATATTTTATGTATGTAAGTGTATGCCTTCTTGTATGTATGTGCATCAAATGCATGCCTGGTGCCTGTGGAAACCAGAAAAGGGCATTGGATCCCCTGGAACTGGAGTTACAGACTATTGTGAACGGCAGTCTGGGTTCACTGGAATTGAACACGGGTCCTTTAGAACAGCCAGTGCCCTTAACCACTGACTCCAACCCTAGTCAGCAGCTCTAGAAAGCTTCTGTTTTGAGAAAGGTTTTTTTTTGGGGGGGGGGGTGGTTTGGACCTTGTGATGTAATCACAAGGTTTATAGGTCTAGTCCTACCGTATCTAACCCAGTGAAGGGATTTTTTTTAATTTAAATTTTATTTTCTAATTTTTAAAAATTTGCTTTTTGAGACAGTGTCTCATATAACCCATTTTGGCCTCAAACTACTGATCCTCCTACCTTTAACCCGTGAGTGCTGGGTTACAGGTGTGTGCCACAACCTGTTTTATGCTGTGCTGGAGATGGGATTCAGGGCCTAGCTATGTTCCCAACCCAGGAACTCTTAAGCAGTCAAGTCCCATTTGACTCTGGTTATTACTTTAACAAAGTTGTTTTCTGGGCTGGGGAGATGGTTCAGTAGTTAGAAACATGTACTGATCTTCCAGAGGTCTGGAGTTTGCTTCTCAACATCCATATTAGGAGGCTTACAACTGCCTGTAACCCGAGGGGATCAGATGTCCTCTTCTGGCTCCCATTGCACCCCCCTCACACCACAGCATATGATAGATAACAGAGACACACATACATAAATGACAATAAAATAGTGTGATTGAATTTTCAACTTGTGTGTTTTGGTTCAGCTAAGAACTAGCAACTAGGTGATAGAATGCTTTGTACAGAGGTAGATTGGGACATACCAACACTCTGCTCAAACCTATTCAGTATAGGTTGGGAGGGCAGGGTAGGGGCAGTGAGTTGGGGGCTCATGGTTTAAGCAAAGTAAATCAGCAAAGCCCAGCACCATAAGAGAAGGAAAGGGCTGCATACAGGCTGACTGACAAACTGAGCGTTCACTTTCTCGTGCAATCTTCTCATAGTATGAAGGAAAACACCAAGGGAGAGCCTGAGAGGCCATTTTCTTGACCCCTGGGAGGGATGCATAGGCTTTTATGAGGACCATGGTTCTTGGGTTCTGAATCACTAAATCACACTAACCCAGTGCCTAACAGTGACAACTGCAAAAGCTGGAGGGGAGGGGAGAGGGGTAGGGATAGGAGTGCTGGGGAGAAGGGCATGGGGGGGGGGGGAGGAGACTGCATGAAAAGGGCCATGCTGAGTTGTGGCCAGGGAGAACAAGAACCGAGGGCACCACATGACAATGTCCAGGGAGCAAGGGAGGGGAGGAGAAATCTCATCCTGCCGGAAATAGACATGACTACAGTTAGGAGAAGACTCATAAATTCAGGGTGGCCTGATTTGATTATGACAACAGGAAGTGCAGGGAGGCTGGGGGTGGGTGGGCAGAATAGCCTGATCCGAGGAAGTGAATTAAATAATAGGGAAGACTTCACAGTTGCCATGGCGTTAAAATACCTCCGGCCACATTAAACGTCTTCCTCTTCTTTTGCTTGGTTCCTGTTCTTCCAACAGGCTCATGTCTCTGCAGTGTATCTACTAAACTAAATTTAGACCCTCCAGGGCAGCGAGGAAGGGACCGTGTAGCTCAGATCTCTGTCTTCTCGTACTATG